CAGGGAGTCTCTGCTCCAGCAATGGTGCACGCTTCCCCCTTGCAGCCGACGGTCTGCACACAGTTCCACATCCGGTGTGGGTGGTGCTCTCGATATCTCTGGTGCATGCGTGGTCCTGTTGCTGGAGTCGTCCTTTGTCTTGTCGGATGGGGGCTGGGATCTTTCGCAGTGCATCCGTTTGTGATCCTTGCACAACATCTTTAGAGCTGTGTAAGTCCTGGGGTCCATACATTTAAAGGTTATGTTTGTTGATGTCTCAGGAGCTCTGTGGTTGGAAGCTGTGGTTACTGCAGTTTCCTAGGGATAAGCTTGGTTAACAAACAACAGATTGCTCCTATTACACTCATTTTGCCAGTTACAAATTCATCACTTACTGCAGTAAGAACACCACATTTTCCTTCAGCTTTACTACGAATTCCACACCTTGCTGTCATTCCTTCCTTAGCTGAATTTTCTCCACCTTTAACCATTATCTCATCTGTTACCAAATCCAGCGCCGCTTTTGGCACAAGCTGCTCTTCTGTTCAATGAGGGCAGAACCCTCCTGGACGCTGCCAGCCCCCTCCCAGCTCTTCCTGCGGAGATCTCTGGGTCCTAGAGCCCGGCTCTCAGCTCCTTCCTCCTAAGGCTTCCCGTGCTGACACTGGGATACCGAGTTTCCTCCATCTCTGCAGATCAAGCCTATTCTCGCTTGCAGCGCTTTGTTTTCGTCCCCATTCGCAATTAACGCTTTGTTTGCGTTCTGGTTACCAGCGGGGGGAGGAGCAGTGCGGGGATGCGTTCTCTTGCCGGCACTGATCTGCTTTGGCTCGAGCAGATCACAGACTTGAATATTTTCACTCACTGTTCTCCTTTAAACTTTCGGCTGGTTTTTGCTTTTGTTGTTTTGTTTTTCACGATTCCACTACTTGTACCCTGAGTTACAGTTACCCTCAGTTACCCTCAGCTTCCATGTTCCATTCCTAAATCCTCTTCCATTCAGCATTCATGTTTGCACTTCCGTACAGCATTAACACTTACACTTCTGTGCACTGTTAACAATTCCTCCTCCGTATACCATTATCAATTACATTTCCATATGCCATTTACAGTTACACTTTCATATGCCATAAGCATTTACCAATCACAAAGAGAGAGACAATAACCAGTACAGTTTATCCTCAAGATGCTTCCTCTCCCCCGAGTTATCCGTGGGAATGAGAACCTTCCCATTCATCTGAGTCCAGGTTCTGTACTCATATCATAGTTTTTCCATTAATAGTCACTCTTTCCCAGTCAAGTGAAACGAAACGAGGGCTATTGGCTGTGCTCTGTATTCACATCCTTGCTTTAAAAGGTTCAATACACGTGTAGGTTCAGCAAGCCTTGCAGCTGGAAGTGCCTCCTGCATTCCCTCTGTTTTGCTGAAGTAGCATAGCTTTAAGGATGCTCTGGGTGTGCTCCGCTACGGCTTATCTTGTAACACTGTAACACTGTCATACTTTCTGGGATAGAGATCCCGGGCCGTTATCTGCACGGATTGCAGGGCTGTTTCCCACGCCCGGAGGCAATACCGTCCAATGATGCTGCTGGGCTGGTGCTGATCTCTGCAGAGAGGGCGAAAAAACAAACCTCGGAGCACCGTGGGCGTCCAGAGAGATGGTGCAAAAGCAGTCTTTGAAGTCAGGTGTGACAAGTCCGGAAACATCCAACTTCTGTGTGCTGGGCCCCGTTGATCCGAACCCTGCAGCAGCCTTTTCGTGGGCGCGGCTGGCGCCGGCTGTGCCCGAGAATGAAGCAGCTGAGCGATGCAAGCGATGCCAGCGCTTCACACGGGGGCTCGGCTGTGACCGTGCGTCCCAAGTCCTGCAGGACGCCGTGCAACAACGCTTCCCAGCACGGCTCTGATCTGGGGCTACAGGGATAACAGGGGAAGTTTTCAACCTCTCCGTCTTTCCGGCTTTCCTGGCCTCCCACCCAGCAGCTGCGCGTGGATCACGAGGGGACAAATCCGTCTCTTCCCTCCGCCGGGATCCTCGGGGGGCGACGCAGTAAAAATCCATCCGATGGCGGCGGCCGGCAGCCGATGGCACTGCGGGCTGATCTGTAGAGCAACCAGCCGCTCCCTTGCCCTCAGGCAGACTGGGGCTGTCAGATGGCGATCTTAAGTGGCTCTTTAGCGCTTCAAAGAGCTTTCTCCCTTTCTGCAGCTCCCCGAACGCAGTTTTACCACCCACAGAAGCAGCGTCCCATAGCATCACCCCGACCCGGTCCCCTACTTCGGGATCGAAAATTGCCTGATTTGTGATCGAGGGGTCCCTCACGTGCTGTAAAATGGCAGCGGACACGGTTTTTCCCCATTTTTTAAGAGTAATCTGTAAAGTAACCGGGACGTTCTTTGTTCGGAGCTCACATTAATCCCCACGGCAACGGTCCGGAGAAAGGCAATCCGAGCTGTCGGGGCGATGAATCCTCAGGTTGTGGTGCTTCTCTCAGCGCACCCACGCTTCTCTCAGTGCCACACTTTTGTCAGCGTGCTCCGTGCTTTTCTCGGCACCTGTCACGCTTTTCTCAGCGTGCTCCGGACCGGTCAGTCTTCGGGTCTCTGTTTGGACGCCAGTTGTCGGCTCTTAGTCGAATTAGAGAGCTTGCACAGTTTCTTGTAGCATCAGAATCGTTCCCCGAATAGTTCTGCTTTATGGTGCTCAACATACATCTTACATCCCATTCACTTACCAGCAGCAAAATCCTGTCCCTCTCATCAGTTAATTGGCCTAGCTTCTCCCAAACAACAGTGACAAAGCATGAAAGGTTTCTGAAGGTGGTAAGATTAACAGTGCATGCAAACAGAACCTCCTGTTTACCCTTAGTCGCAAAGAGATCCCATTTGCTCTCAGTCTTACACTCCAGGCTCCCAAGGTTTCACAGTGACAGGGTCTACTAAGGAGTCTGATAAACTCTTTGCTGACTGCTCAGTTACATCTTCCCCCCACATCTCCTCCTTCCTTATTAATAAAAAAGGCACGGTTCAAAGCATCCTGTATCACTTCTTGTATACACTGCAACAAGCGTGAAACACAAATCACAGCATCACAGAATGGCCAGGGTTGGAAGGGACCTCAAGGATCACGAATCTCCATCCCCCCTGCCACGTGCAGGGCCACCAACCTCCACGTTGAATGCTAAACCAGGCTGCCCAGGGCCCCAACCAACCTGGCCTTGAACACCTCCAAGAACGGGGCATCCACAACCTCTCTGGGCAGCTGTTCCAGCACCTCACCACTCTCTGGGTAAAGAATTTCCCCCTGATGTCCGACCTAAATCTCGCCTCCCTCAACTTAAAACCATTTCCCCTCATCCTACACATGTCAACCCTTTCAAAGACTTGATTCCCCTCCGTAGGCTCCTTTAGGTACTGCAGGCTGCAGTGAGGTCACCCCACAGCCTTCTTTTCTCCAGGCTGAACAAGCCCAGCTCCCTCAGCCTGTCCTCACAGGGGAGCTGCTCCAGTCCCCTGATCATCCTAGTAGCCCTCCTCAGGACCCTCTCTAACAGCTTCCTGTCTTTTTTGTACTACGGGCTCCACACTTGGACGCAGTACTCCAGATGGGGCCTCACAAGAGCAGAGTAGAGGGGGACAATCACCTCCCTGTCCCTGCTGGCCACCCCTCTTTTGATGGACCCCCGGATACCATTTGCCCTCTGAGCCGCAACACTGTTGGCTCATATTAAGCTTTTCATCCATCAGGATCCCCAGGTCCTTCTCCACAAGGCTGCTCTCAAGGACCGCTCCTTCCAGCCTGTAAGGATGCCTACGATTCCTCCGGCCCAAGTGCAAAACTTTGCACTTTGCTGTGTTGAACCTCATCAAGTCCACCCTGCCCACCTTTCCAGCCTCTCAAGGTCCCTCTGCATGGCAGCCCTTCCTTCAACTGTGTCGACTGCACCGCTCAGCTTGGTGTCATCAGCGAACTTGCTGAGGATGTTCTCAATTCCTACATCGCTGTCACTGATGAAGATGTTGAAGAGCACCGGTCCCAACACAGAGCCCTGGGGGACGCCTCTTGTTACCAGCCTACACCTGGACACAGAGCCATTCATGACCACCCTCTGAAAGTCTGCGGCCTTTCAACCGGTTTCTTATCTATTCAGTGGTCCATCCATCAAATCCACATCCCTCCAATTTGGAGATGAGGATGTGGTGGGGGACCTTGTCAAAGGCCTTGCTCAAGTCCAGGTAAATGACATCGGTCGCATTCCCCTTATCCACCGATGCCGTCACTCCATCATAGAAGGCCACCAGATTGGTCAAGCATGACCTTCCTCGGAGAAGCCATGCTGACTGTCACAGATGACATGCCCATCCCTCGTGTGGCTGAGCATGTCATCCAGGAGGATCTGTTCCATGGATGTGGCTTTTTATCCCAGAAATCCTGTTTTTCCCCTTAAATGTGAAGTTTTCTCCCAGAAATCACTGTTTTTCCCCTTCAATCTGGGGTTTTCTCCCAGAAATCCCTGTTTTGCCCCTTAAATCTGCCTTTTTCTCCCCGAAATTTCTCTTTTTCCCCTTAAATTTGGCTTTTTTCATCCAGAAATCTCTGTTTTTCCCCTTCAATCTGGGATTTTCTACACAAAATCCCTGTTTTTCCCATTCAATTTGGGGTTTTCTCCCCAAAATCCCTGTTTTTCCCCTTCAATGTGGGGTTTTCTCCCCGAAATCCCTGTTTTTCCCCTTCATCTGGCTTTTTTCCCAAGACAGTGTCCCTGCTCCAGTGCCACCCTTACTGTGACAGACTTCTGCCATCCGTCCCGTCTCAACTGTCTCTCTCTGCCCTTCTTTCTTGCCGCCCCCCTCCAGACACCGAAGGCCAGAAGCAGAACACGGCAGCACACACGTGTGCGTGTGCATGAACACGGCGTGTGCACCGAGGGCTCTGCACAAGGCTGTGTGGCTTTGCACACCTTTGCCCGTGCGTTCGGATGGTTGCGCACAGGTGTGCCAGGAGGTGCAGGCAGTGTGTGAGTGCACAGGGTTGTGTGAGTGCGCCAGGAAGTCGTTGGAGCAGCAGCTCCTGGCTGCCGCTGCACAAATCGGGCCGTGCGCTCTGTGTCCATCTCTACTGGTGATGTTTTTATTGAGCACAACCAAAGTTGAGTTGGAGTTGGGCGGCACTCGCAGCGCTGCCCTGTAACGCCGCGCGCCGCAGCGCTGCCGGCTGATGCTGCTCCTCTCAGTCCCTCAGCTGCAGCTGCTGCATCATCTCCACCAGGCTGTTCATTGTGGAGCACTGGAAAGAAACAGAGTGAGTGTAGAAACAACCTGGGGAGCTCTCCTTCAGAAAGGCTGATCAGGACACTTGCAGAACGGCCCCATGCAGCACAGCACGTTCCTGCCGTTCAGGTCGCTGGCGTTACTTCCCACAGCAGCTGCCTATGCTAACATTCATGCTCTGCTGGGGGAACGAGGTTTCCAAGGCCGCAGTGCCCGACACGGCAAGGCTCCTTATGGCAGCAAAACCCTCCGGCCGTTACCAACAGCGTCCTTCTGAAGGCAGAGGAAGGCACCCAAGCTCGCCTGGGCAGCTCTCGCTGACAGCGTGACTTCCTCAGACACACAGCTGGGTGTTTTTCTGTGACATCACTGCCCTCAGGACCTTACAGCATCTTTCACGGCTGTCAGACAGAGGCACTGAAGGCAACAAGAGCCGTGTCTGTGCTCGCCAAGGACTCACCTCTGTATGTGCAGCTGCAGCTCTGAGGGAAGCCTTCTTCAATTCCCTTCTCCTCTCTTTCTGTCGTCGTCTTCTTGCTATAAAGCAAGAATAACAATGAATTCATTCCGTCAGCAGCAGAACTGTGAAAACATGGGTACCACAAAAGCTGAAGGCAGAAAAAAGACAGGGGAAATTTGAGCAGGAAGCCTCTCAGTGAAAGACATTTCCAGGGGGACAAACAGAAGACCACCATGCAGTTAAAGAGACGGGGTTACATACTGTGGCACCTCAGTGCCTTTGGACTTCTTAGAGGCTCCAACTCTTTTCCCCTCTGCAGAGAAGGAGAAAGCAAAGCAAACCCTCTGCAGCCTCGGTGTGCTTGATCAGGGCAGCAGCTGCCCTGCAGGGCGGTAGCACAGCACCTGCTTACCTCGCAGCTTGGAGCTCCGTGCTGCAGCAGGCCCAGGCTGTGCTGCTGGAGCCGGCACGCTGCCTCCGCTCTGACCTCTGGCTCTTTTGCAGGCAGGCAGCAGCGCTGATGTTTGCTGCTCTTCCTCCAGGCCCTTGCGTTTACCTGCAGCCAGGGACTTGGAGACAGAGCGGGGGCACACGGCAGGGGCAGGTCTTCCCCCTGAGCTGGGACCTGCTGATGTAGGAAGCCCCCCAGCCTGAAGACAAGCTCTCCCAGAAAGCCCTTCCTGCACCGCTTTCGGGTCGATCTTTCCGTTGGACTCAGCACCTCTGTCTGTTATAATCAAGAAAAGAGAAGCAAGGAGATACAACGAGAGTCCAGTGATACTTTCAGTCTGCACAATGGGCCTCGATACTAGGAAACCTGATCTCGAGGGTACACAGTAAGGAATCTTAGCATCTTGGCTGAACGTTGCGTTGAGACTACAAAACGGGACAGGAAGGTAATAGTAGATCCCAGGGATTAATACCTCAGGTAAAACACACAACAACGTCAGTCCCAGAAAGAATAGACAGAGAGCCTAGCTAGAAAGACAGTGCACCAAACCCAGGTGCCTGCTGTGTGTCCATACCTCTCTTGGGTGCTGTGCCACACTCGGTGCTTCTGCCTTGCCTTTCTGCAAGGCTGCGCTTTGCTGGAAGGCTGCTTGCATCAGCATCTGACAGAAAGGAAACAGAGACATGAAGAGCATCTCTTTGCAGGAACGTTGTAGCACAGCCAACCAAACTTCTGGTCTTCCAGTGTAGTTTCTTCAATTTCCTTTCCGCTGCTCCAGCCTTGTGCCACTTCTGCAGTCAGCACAGAACTGCAGTGCCCTTTCCTCCCTCCTCCATCACACTCAGCCCTGCGTGCAGCCCTGCTTAGAGGCAGCACCCACAGCACAGCTCACAGGAGCTTCTTACCTGGGGAGGCTTTCCGTTTCCCCCCGTGCCCAGCACCATCCCACGGACGCGCAGGCTCCGTCCCTGCAACGACAGATCCAGTGTGATTGCACAGACCCCAGGAGCAGCGCTGTCCTGTCAGCCCACACCCACCCCAAAACCAGAAGACGCTGTTCTACAGCCAGAGCAGAAACTGGTGTTCAAACTGCAGCGTGCTGACACAAAGCATTATGCTCTCATTCCTGCCAGATGGCAGCAGAGGAACCCCGGACTGCCTGACAGCTCTGCATTCTGCAGAGCAGAGCTGCATCAGCAAACAAAACGCTACCGGGTGCAAACGTGGAGACACGGATCTCTTGTCCCTAGAGGGAATGCACTCAGCTCTGAGCAGCACCACTTGTACACAGACTGGTGTCTCGCTGCTGCCATCAGCTGCTGCTGTCGGCCTTTCTAATGCTTCCACCGTGGTTTCTGGACATCCCTACAGCACTGCAGCCGCTCAGAAGTGATACCTAGCAGGCATTCCTCCATCCTTCATGACAGAGGACTGCAGAAACTCACTTTTGCGTGGCAGTGAGGACGGCCCGTGCCCATCGCGTCCCTCTGTGCGCTGCCAGGCGCCGTGGGATCTCTGGCAGCCTGCTGGCTGCTGCTCCCAAAGGCGGGGAACCGCGCCGCACTGCTTCTGAGGAGAGAAAGAAGAAACGTTGGAGGGAACGGGCAGCCGAGGTTTGCACAGAGCTTCCAGGTCGTGCCAGAGATGGGATAGCAGAGTGCTGAGATGTTCTTTACCACTGAGGGAAAACACAGCCTGAGCCATGCCCATGTTATTAGCCCAGGCTGTCAGCGAGCGCAGAACCCAACCAGTTCCTGAGGTCCCAAAGGACCAGCAGGGCTCCCTCCGCTCCACCCCTTCCCCTGGAAAACAAAAACAAAGGAAGAAACACCCAGCAAAAGATACCCAGCCCTACCTTTGCTCTCACAGAGCGGGAATTGGAGCCGCGCTCGTCTCCATGCTGAGACATGACGGCTGAAGTCTCAGAGGAAGCCAAGCTCAGATGGTTCTCTGCACAGGAACTTCTCCCGCTCCTGGAAAGAGCTGGCTTCACTCTTCCTCGATGCCCAAAGTCTCCTTTTGGACAGGAACCCTGCAGAAAGCATCCACCAGTGAAAAATCATGAGGAAGAAGCATCTTCCCAGCTTTCTTCTGCCGCGCCATGGAGTCTCTTGAGGAGGGCAACGTCTGGAAGGCAGCTGGCTGCGAGAGCTGCCTGCCACCAGGTCCAGTTTGGGTCTGACTGCCACGGCTTGTGTCAGCAAGTGCCCTTCTCCATCTCCTCCACAGCTCTGCACCCAGCCACCCGTGGGGCAGGGGGCACGAGCTGTGCTCTGAGAAGCTTGTGCTCTCCTTGCTTTTCAATGTCCGACATGAAGGCGGGGCTCAGCAGTGAATTTCCAGGGTAGGAATGTCATCTCATCATCCTCACAGAAACGTGGGATGGAATCTCAACAAGAACCATTTCCCCTGGAAACGGCCGTGCTGAGGGGCACCGCTGGAGCTGGGAACTCCTCCCCAGCCCAGCTTTTCTGCTGAGACACCTCCCGGCCCCCAGCCAGCACCAAACCCAGCTCACCTGGTCACTGCCCAGCCGGATGACCTGGTCACTGTGCCCAGCTGACGCACGCGCCGCAGCGCTGCTCCCAGTGGGCTCTCACAGGAAGATCTCTCCTGAAAAGCACAGAGCTCAGTCTTGGTTTGCAGCACGCTCACCAGACCACCAGCTCTGCTCCAGCTGGGGCACAAACGCTCCCAGCCAGGCAACCACTGTGAGCTCAGCAAGTGCCTGCATCACCGCTGTGCTTTCATCATAGGCAAAGGAGTGGCCACCTCCCAGATCCAAACTGTAGGAAACATGAGACTCACCCAATGTGCTGAATGGGGTTGATTGAATGGGGGTTAATTGAAGTAAAGCAACAGAGAAGTGAGGATGACCTTTGTGCAGCCCAGTAAAAACCAGTATGGCCTCAGAGTGGTTAATGGAGTCCAATAGGAATCAGCAGAAAACAAAACCCGGCATCTCTGGTTTTTGCTTTCAGTCCCAGGGCAGCGCTGGCCTCCCCAGCTGTGGCTGTGGCTTTCAGTCCCTGGGCTGGATCCTGCCTTTTGGGCTGTCCATTTTGGCTCTGGGGCTGGTGCCAGCCTCTCTGGCTGTGGCTTTAGGCCCTAGGGCCTTTCCACCTTCTCTAGCTGTGACTTTAGTTCCAAGGCTGGAGCTGTCTTCTCTGCCTGCGGCTGAGGCTTTAGGCCCTGCAGTCAGTGCTGTTCTAACTGGGGCTGTGGCTGTGAGCCCCTGGGCTGGATGCAACCTTTTGGGCTGTGGCCCAAAGTCACCAGGCCTGGTACCAAATTGTAAGAAAACATGAGGGCCGCCCAATGGCGTTATCTGAAGTATCAAAACAGAGAAATTAAGATGACTCCTGTGTAACCAGCCTGGGTCATGCTCTCGCTCAGGCACCGCATGATCAGACCCAGGAGATGTTGCCCCCAGGATCCCCCAGACTGGAGGCTGGGAGGATTTGGGCTCCCAAGCAATCAGCCAGCATTCGGATGAGTCAGCGCTCTGGTTTTTGTGGGGACAGACGAGCCCACCTTGGAAAGCCATCTGGGCAAAGGCAGAACAGCTTTGTGTTGGGCCGCAGCACTCCGTGGCCAGGCGCTGCTCAAACGCTGGGCCTGCATTTCCTCCTGGGCATCCACGCGTGCTCTGAGTCTGCTGCAGCTTCCTGCAGGGTTTGTGGCTTCCTGCTGAGGAGCTCCTCGTGTTCTTCTGCAGCTGCCCCCCAGCATCACCGCTGCCTCCTCTGGTGCCGTGCCGGGAGATGCGTCAGCGTCCATCAGCCTGCGCTTCCTTCCTCCCAGCAGCAGCTGCTCCTGCACTGCCCTTCATTCACACTGGATGCCGTCCGCTTCCAGCGCCAGCTGACCTGCGACACAGAGAAAGGAAATGTGGGATCAGCACAAATGCAGAAGCCCGAGGCTGTGCCACCACCACGTACTGCAGCCTTGGGAAGCCAGCTGCCACTGCAACCTTGGTCAGAATTAAAGCAGGCTCCGTAAATTAAGTGTGACTTCTGAACTGAAGGAATTGCCACAGTCAGAAATAAATACTGAAATCGCTCACTGAACTGTAGGTGGTTACCTCTGAATTCTTTTGCTTTGGGGAAAATATGGACTGGGAATTGAAGGGTACGAGAAAAACGAGGAGCACTTGGCAACTCAGGCAAACTGAGCAGTGCAGGGAAGATTGCTGCATTTCTTCCTCTCCTGGCCCAGAAATGAATTTTCCTACCTTAAAAGAGGTACTTAAAAGAGGTACCTTAAAAGAGAAAAGAGAAGAAGAGCCTGACACAGTAGACACATTACAGTCCCACATCACGGGTAGAAGCTGGAGAGCTCTGGTGGCCCAAAGCTCAGGGCTGCAGAAATTGAGGGTGCTCTAAGCTTTAAAACCAGGTGAAAGACAAGGTGGAACGCGAAACGTCGGCACTTCCTGCAGAGCTCATCACACAGCTGCAGGCACCGCCTGAGGGGTAACAGATCAGAAAGGAAAACCTGACTATGGGAACGCAGGGACCAGCTGCTCTCTTCTTCTGGGCCTTTGTTCACAGTGAGGATTTCCCTCAAGAGCGCCGCTTTCCGCTCAGGCTGCTGCTGGGTGAGATTTCAAAGAAAACCAGCATGTTTGATGGAATGATTCCACTTCCAAGCTGTGCCAGTCACTTCAGTCACCTGTTGTGCAACACCACAAATAAAAACAAAAACCCAACTGCAGGGCAAAATCAGGATTAATTCAAAATTGAAGGGGTTTTGGAGCCATTTCAACATTTTTCCCTTGATTTTTCCAGCTCAGGGAATGAGAAGAAGCTCGAAAGGAGCTAGAAGCCTCTCTGGATCAACTAGAAGAGGTGCAGTAACGTAGGGATGCTGATGGCCTGAAGTGCCATTTGCCTTGGTGTTTGTTATCTGGAGCCACCGTGCGTTTGCCAGCTTTAGAGCTTCTCTCTTTAAAGCACTGGCAATACGGAATTGGAAGTTTGTCAGATGGCTTTAATAGTGAAGCTGACAGGAGCTGCCAGTGCTGCTGGAGCCCTGTTGTGTGCAGCTGTCTGCGATGGGTGCATGGAGCAGCACTGAACATCTGCAGCTTTTCCTTCAGACACGCAGACATAACCCTGCCTTCTGCCTTCTGCCTTCTGCCTGTGCTTTGCTGTTATTTCCTGGGATCCTGCAAGCTTTCTTTGCCGTTTGTATTTTGTCTCCAGCTTTGCTTTGGGATTTTTTCCTTTGCTCTGCTGTCTAAGAAGTGCTGAATCCCAGCCTGACCCACTGACGGAGCAGCTGAGGAAAGGAGCTGCTCAGCCCTGGAGCGCAGCTGAAGGCAATGGAGCTCCGTGGCTGGAAGGGGCGCAGCCTGGCTGCCCCTCGTGGAGCTCAGGTCAGGGCTGGCTGGGAGCAGGGAAGGGTTTCTTTCTGGAAGGTTCTCTGCTGTGGAGTTGGTTCTGTCGGTGACTCCTTGGCGATGGTGAGCAGTGCTTTTCCTGCCTCTGTCATATCCTGCCATTGCCCTGGTGTTTCTGCCGCTCTGTGTGTGATGGGCCGCTCTGGGCTGGGGGGGGGACACCTTGTGTGCCTGTTTGCATGAACCTTCCTTTCTGTCCCTCTTCAGAAGTGCTGGGTGCTTTGTGGAGGATCTTGCAGGAGGCTGTCAGAAAGCTGGCTGTGATTTTGCTCACATGAAGGGACGCAATGGGAATGGACGTCATTGCCACCAAGCAGAAGTGAGCTGCTTATGTTGTGAAAGATACGATCTTGGTTGTGGATTATGAGCAGTTGCAGTGCGATAGGGGACTGAAGTAACTGCTTGTTTGGGAGTTCAGGGAAGAGCCATGAGCGGTGAAATGGCAGTTTGTGTTTTGGCTGTCCAAATGGGGGAGCTTTATTGGTGATGCTTGCTGTGCTGTGCCTGCCTGCCTGCTCCCTGTGCTTGCTGCACCTGATAGCAGTGGCTGTGGCCAGGCTCCCCAGGGCTGTGGGCCTGGTCCTGAGCTGCTGCAGCTTAAAGACCATTTGTGTTTGGGTTGTCCTTCCTGGAGCCTCAGGCTGGACTTGGTGATTCCTTGTGGATCCCTTACAGTTTGGGATTCTATGATCTTGGTGGTTTACCTGGAAAATACCAGATGATTTTTTTTTTATCCCCTCATGTTTTCATGGCAGTTAAACTTGTAGTTTCACTTCTAAATGTGAGTGGAGTTGGATAAGGGGAGGGCAAGTTGCTTCTTTATTTGCTGTTCTGCCAGGTGGGTCTGTGTATTTAGTGCCCAAGTTGTGGTGGCTCTGTAAGTAGGGATGTTCCTAATGGTCGTAAAAAGACTCTGCTGCCAGCACAGAACTTGTCCACAGGACTGCGTGCTGATTAAGTTCTGTAGATTGATTATCTGCTATTTGAGATGGTCTGTTCTGTTTGTTTTTTCCAAGACATCAGGTTTTGAGGTCGCTGAGATGTATGGATTAAGCAATCACTTGCATCATGTTTGAGCTTGAAGCAGTTGAATCATCCCACACAGCACTGTTAAATTAAACCTTACAATGGCTTTGGGATCGTAGCTCTGCGCTGGGCTGTGCCACCAAAACGTGTTGGTGTTTGATTCTCTTGGTGGATTTTATTTTTAAGCGAGCACTGGGAGGCAGTGGAGTGGAGCAGAGGAGCCTTAGTGGTGTGGTTGTGTCAGGTGTGCCTGATCTCATGGTGACAGGTGGCCTTTTAGTGGAGTTCAGGCTCTGAGCCCTCAAAGCAGGAATGGGGCGAGTTTGGGGTGATAGCAAGGCTAATGCAGAAAGGTTTGGATGAAGCTGTCCCAGAAGAGTTACCGGTCCTTAGCAGCCTGGCTGGTGTGTGATGTAAGTACTGAGACGTTCCTTCCTCTGTGTTTGAAGGAGTGGATGCTGTTACATAAGGGCATGAAGGCATTGGATCTTCATTGGAGCTTCAAAGCACAGCGAAGGCAGTTGGAAGGCAGGAAGGTGACGAGTTGGAATCCTACTGTGAGCCCAAATTCAGCCAACCATTACTGCTAAACAGGGGCCTGGGGTTTGTTTTAAGCTTTTCTGTTTCCTGTGAGACTGAACCGTCTGTTGGTAGGGTTGCAGTGCAGGTGCCTGGGAGCCATGTTTTCCCTAGGGAGAGCGGTGTGCTTGTGTACCTTGTGTGCTCTTCAGCAAGGGCATGGTAAAAGCAGTGCTGGGTGTTGGGTGAGGAGCAGAGGGAGAGAGGTGAGCCCAGTGTGGAGACAGCAGGGGAAGCAGCTGGCTTCCACACAGCGCCCAGGTGGAGTGCCAAGGAGATGAGATGAAGCAGCGTTGCAGGTGTTTTTCCAGGAGCTGTGTCTTCCAAGGCTCGGGACCAGAGGTGTCCCTGGGGTTGCTTTCACAGGACACCCCAGCCCTCCTGAGGACCCACGGTGAGTGTGTGGGTGACAAAGGTGTCACTGAGCGACAGCGTGAGGGTGGGAATGCGTGGAACACAGCGCCCAGGGGGGAGACGGGCAGCCTGGGGAGGTGGGGGGGAAGGTCAGGCGCAAGGAGAAAGTCTGCCCCCCTTGGAGAAAAGGGCCTGTTGAATGGCTTGGGTGAGATGTTGGAGAGCAGGAAGTTAGTGAGGTGAAAATGTGCCACCTGGGTACCGTTGGAGCCCCCCAACCCCACAAGTGCTGTGCAAAGCTCTCCACGCCCCCTGGTGCTCTGTGCAGTTCCCCAGTCAGCTCCCGTTGCCTCTCGGCGTTGCCTCGACTCTCCTTGTGCCAACTCGGTGCCCCCGATGGAGATGTTCAGCCTGGAGGAGCTGGAGGAGCTCTTGGCTGCCTGCAGCCACCCCAACATCCCCAGAGGTGGGCACGGGGGCCTGGGGGGGCTTTGGTGCTGCATGAACGACAGCAGGCAGAGGTGTAGCAAAGGGAACGCAGGACATTTAATAGTGAAACGTACAAAACAGTGCCTAAATGACAAGATTCCCAACCATTTCCCACCCCTAACAACAGTTTCTGATCCCACCCCCTAAAATTCCCACCCTCAGTTTCCCACCCCCCGATCAATTTCTCCCCCTCCCCCCCGCTCCCTCCCACCAATAGTTTCTTCCCCCTGCACAAAACTTCCCAGCCCCCCAAAGATCCCACGCCAGCAATTCCTTCCTCCCAATTCCGGCAGTTTTGGAGTACAATATTACCCGAGTGCAATTTCTCACCCAGAACTGCCACCCCACCAAATTCCCTCCCCCTCTGCTGGCAGGCGAGATCCGTGCCCGGTAGCTACCCTTCCCTCCTCCTTGGCACGACTGCCAGCGCTTTGGCTTCCTGCAGAGAGGTGCTTTGCTGTGACTGGCAGCCGCAGGCTGCTTCTGGGCTGGCGGCCCTGCAGTTGCACCTGTGCTGGAGGAAGCAGCGTGCCCAGTAGCTACCCTTTCCTCCTCCCAGGCACGGATGCTGAGCTTGTGGCCCGCTCCAGGCTCGCTGGGCGCCTGTGCTTTGCCCTGGCGGTGCGTTCCTTTCGGTTGTTTGTCGGTGTGGCTGGTGCTGCTGGACGGGTTGTTGCTGTGTTGCTGTGTGCCCATAACCGTGCCGAGTCCTGGTGCTGCCGCCGTGCTGACAGCGGCAGCTTGGCCTAGCGCCGGCGTTTGTGGGCTGGCGCCCGGTGGCAGCGCGGCAGCTTCCTGTGTGTGCCTGGGATGCTGGCAGCGCGCTGCCTGTGCGCGGTGCTCTGGCCTCTGGTGGTGGAGCAGGCGGGCGTTGGGCTGGTGGGCGGCGCGGTGCTGTCCCCGTGGTGCTGGTGTGCCAGCCGGCAGGAGATGCATCCGGCTGGCAGTGCGAGGCGCCTGAGCAGCACGTGGGGCTGTTTGTGCGGCGCCTCTTCCACGAGCCGCCCGGCGCGCAGCAGAGGAGGCACGGGGCGCTTGGCTGGCTCGGCGCTGTGCCCTGGGTGCTGGTCTGCCAGCCGGCAGGAGATGCAGCCGGGTGGCAGTGCGAGGCGGGGGAGAACCAGCCGGGGCTGCCTGCGCTGCACCTCTGCCGTGGGGTGTGCAGTGCGAGGTGCAGGAGGTGCAGGGGCAGCCGGTGGGCTGGGCAGTGCCAGGCGGGTGAGCATCACCCGGGGCTGCCTTCGCAGCACCTCTTCCATCGGGTGTGCGTTGTTTGGCGATGGCGGTGTAAGAGCAGCCAGGGGGCTCGGCACGGGCAGCTGAGGGGATGCTGCCTGGTGCCCAAGTGAGTTGTTGAAGAGCCCGGGTTCAGCATCTGTGTCGTTGCTGAGCTCCCGGCTGGCCGTGGGGGAGTGAGGCAGCTCTGCGATGGAAGAGGAGTTGAGGCTGCTGGAGGCTCGTGGGCTCGGTGGTTGTGTGGCAGTGCTGCCCTGCGCCAGCCCCTCCCTTCTGCAGCTGTGCAGGGCACTCGCAGCTTCTGGAATAGCAGAACGTGCCCCGGAACGATGATGGCAGCCTTCCCACCCCCTGCTTGGTGCAGACACCCACCGGTCATCTGTGCAGACCGCAAACTCACCATCCGTCCAGGTGAGCAAACGGTCAATTTCGGCATCGCCGGCCAGAGTGCTGGTGCTGGGTCTGTCTTCTGGGCAGTGGAAGAAATGCCCAGTGGGGCAATGCCAGCTTTCCCGCAGGCACTCAGCGCAGGCAGCCCCCAGCAGCTGTGCTGCTCCCAAACTCACCGCTGTTGATCCACGTGAGCAGCTCGTCCACGTCTGCGTTGTCGTGCAGGATGCCTGGGTTGGCTGTCACTTCTGGAGAAGGAAGAAAATGCCCAGAGGGGCACTGCCAGCTTTCCCGTGCCCGCTCGGTGCGAGCACCCCCCGCCGGCTCTGCTGCCCCCCGACTCACCCTCGTTGATCCAGGTCAGGAGCTCAGCCATGTCCTCGGCGACGTCCTCCGGGGTGTCTGCGCTCGTTGTCGCTGCTGGCCAAGCAAGAGCATCCCCAGCGGGGCAATGCCAGCTTTCCCACAGCCCCGTGGAGTAGACAGCCTGCCGCCCGCCCTGCAGCCCCTGAACTCACGGCCTGATTGCAGCGAGGCAGCGCTGCAGGCGAGCGGAGCCGTGGCGGGGTGGGGGCAGACGTCGGTGGGCGCTGGGTGCCCCTGGTCCTCCGAGAGCAGCACGGCGTCTTGGGAGGGCTGCATGGGCAGCTCCCAGGTGTCGGGCAGGGTGCAGGGCCCGGGGAGCACCTGCTGCTGCAGGGAGGGTACCTGCAAAAGAACTGGGGGGGGGCCGGGGCGGCCGGGGGCCTGCGGCAGGCAGGTGCCTGCGGGCTGCGGGGGCTCCGCGTGGAGGGGCACGGCCCCGGGCCACAGCCCCATCGGCCGCTGGGGCGGCAGCGTCCCTGCGTGCAGGGGACGTCCCGAGCAGGGAGCAGGGGCGTGGGGGGGAGCCGTAGCTGGGTGCTGCCCCCCAGATAGGAGCAGCAGCACCGGTGAGTGCAGCCCCGCAGTTGGGGTGAGGCCCACAGGTGGCAGCTGAGCCAGGGTTGGGGGCAGCCCCCCGGGTGGGAGCTGCGCTGCCTGTCCCCAGGCACCTGGTAGGCCGGGCCAGGCAGAGGGCTGAGGGGCCAGGTGGGTGGCAGTGGGGACAGGGAAGGGTTGTGGGGGTACCGGCATCGGTCCGCGGACGGTGGGCTGCATCCCGGCGGGGTCCGGTGGCGGCACAGTGGCATCCAAGCAAGTGGCGTCAGGCGTCAGAGGCACCGTCAGCGCTCGAGGGAATCTCTCTGTGGGGAAACGCCAGACGGGGCGCTGGGCTGAGAGCCGGGGCATTGGGGTGAGATCCGGGTGACAGGAGTGGGATCTGGGGTGCTGGGCTGAGATCCGGGTCACAGGGGTGTTTTCTGGGGCTCTGGGATGAGATCCGGGGCCACAGGGGTGAGATGTGGGGCGCTGGGGTCAGCTGGAGCGTCAGAGCAGGGGGAGCTGCTGCCTTACCTGCCATGACAGCTGGAGAGTGGCAGTTGGGGGAGCCCCTCCCCCCACGGGGGTTCCGTGACCGTTGGGCTCAGCCCCTCTCCCCCCGGCTTGCCATGCTTTGCCTTTTCGTACCCAGACCTCCTTCCCATCCCAGTGGTTTCCCATCCCCAGGATCAGTGACCGTATGGATGGGCATTTTGCAGCCCAGTGCCCTTCCTTCCCAAGGCTCTGCCCGTCATCCCAGTGGGGATTTGCCATCCCTGCAGTGCGTTCTCCCCCCAGGGATGGTTTCCCCTCCCAGTCAGGATCTCCCTTGCAAGCATTGCCAGCCGTCACCACCCAAAACCAGCCCGTGGCTTAGGGCTTAAACTGCCAGCTTTAATTACCAGTTCTGGGAAGCGGCGGCAGCCGTGGTGGGCCAGTTGGACAGGTGACAATGACAAGGAGTGATTTCGGTGGGACGGCCCCGATTCAGCTGAGAGCAGTGCAGGAATGAGTCAAGGCCCGTGCAGCGTATGCCGAGCTTGTTGCTGTGAACTGGTGCTGTGTGCCTCCAGAACATCGCTCACTTTACATCGTGGGCTTTTTCTCCTCGCTTTGGCCGTGTCCTGGGGCATTGCTGGTGAGCACAGAGCAGACAGCGTTGTCTTTTCTGCTCTTCCCTCTTCTGCGCTTCCCTTTTCTGCTCTCTTCCTCACCTGCTCTTCAGCTCTTCTCCCTTGGTGTTATCCTTTCTTTCTGCTCATCTGCAGTTCTTCCTTCCTTAATCGTGACTCCTCTCCTGCATCTGTGCTCCTCTTCAGCTTTTCTTTCTTACCCGTATCCTCTCTTCTCCTGTTGTTCTCCTCGTCTGCTCTTCTGACTTAGCTGTTTCCTCCTTGCACATCTTAGGCTCTTCTGTTCTGACCTATGCTATGTGCTCTTCTACTTTGCTGCTCTTCTCTGCTCTTCTGTGCTCTCTTCCTCCCTTCTATTTGTTTTTGCTTCTGCCCTTCTCCCTGGCCTGTGTCCTCTCTGCCCATCTTCTGTACTTCTGCCGTACCCGTGTTCTCTCTTCTGCTCTCCAGCTGCTCTGCACTTCTGCTTTTCTGTCTCACCTGTCTTGTCTCCCTTTCTGCTCTTCTCCTTGTCTGCACGTCGTTCTTACCTTCATCCTCTCTGTTATGCTTCTGCTCTTCTCCTGTTCTGCTCGTCTTTTCCCTGCTTTGCTGTCTTGCCTGTATCCAACCGTTACCTCTGCTGCACTTTTCATCTTCTGCACTTGTTTCTTACCTGTATGCTTTCTTCTTTTTCTTCTCTTCTGCTCTTCTTTATTTCTGCCTTGTGTGTATGTGCTCTTCCCCTGTTCTGCTCTTTTAGAGCTCCTGTCAGCATCCGGTCTCTGCACCCCAACTGTGTGTCGGACTTGATTTTGGGGTGGAGGAAGGTAGGTAGGGCCTCGATTTGTGCAAGAGGAGCTGTTGTGCTGTGCCCAGGAGGTGATGAAAAAGAGCCCTGAGGAGCCAGGAGCACCAAGGCAGCGTGTTTCTGCAGAGGCCGCAGCGTAAGCAGATGTGAACCTCGAAGGAGTGCTTTGTAGCTCCCCAGGAACTGCTTTTGGGTGGGGGATTTTCTGGAGTTGTTTGCAGTTGTTGCTCGGAGGAGCTGAGGCTTTTCTCCTTGTATCTTTGCAGGAAAGCAGAGCGGAGGGAGCGTCTGTGGTGAGATGCCCAGGTGAAATTGCCTTCCCTGCACCAGCAGCCTGTGTGTGTCCACGTGATGCATGGAGAAGAGAAGCCTGCAGTTCTGTGAGTAAGCCTGGCAAATGGAAGAATGGCTGTGGCCTTTTTGGCAAGTGTGTGAGGAGGGGTCTTTGGACAGGCTGCTCGTTGGTTGGTTGGTTGTTTTTGCAGGGAAATGCCATTTCAGTTGTTAGTTGTGACAGTTGTTTGGTGCTTGTTTGGAAAAGATTGGTCGTGTAGACAAGCAGTGCTCTCGCCCCGAGGAAGTGAGAAATCTCCTGTGCATCCAGTCTTCTTGATGAGCCTTCCATTGCCTTTTCACAGTGCCTCGAAATGCCTGTATCAATGGCGGGGGGATCAATGGGGAAGAGATGAGGTGCCATTTGTGTGCACGCTCTGTACGCGGAGCAGGCGTCCCCTGCTGCGAGCTGGGAGCCCTGCAGAGCGTGCTGGATTTGTTTTCCTTCCTTGTTGGAGCGCTGCCCCGTGTGAGGCCCCATCTGGACTGCTGCGTCCAAGTGTGGAGCCCGCAGTGCAAAAAAGACAGGGAGCTGTTGGAGAGGGTCCTGAGGAGGGCCGCTAGGATGATCAGGGGACTGGAGCAGCTCCCCTGTGAGGACAGGCTGAGGGAGCTGGGCTTGTTCAGCCTGGAGAAAAGAAGGCTGCGGGGTGACCTCATTGCAGCCTGCAGTACCTAAAGGAGCCTACGGAGGGGAGGGGAATCAAGTCTTTGAAAGGGTTGACATGTGTAGGATGAGGGGCAATGGTTTTAAGTTGAGGGAGGGGAGATTTAGGTCAGACATCAGGGGGAAATTCTTCACCCAGAGAGTGGTGAGGTGCTGGAACAGCTGCCCAGAGAGGCTGTGGATGCCCCGTTCTTGGAGGTGTTCAAGGCCAGGTTGGTTGGGGCCCTGGGCAGCCTGGTTTAGCATTCAACGTGGAGGTTGGTGGCCCTGCACGTGGCAGGGGGGATGGAGATTCGTGATCCTTGAGGTCCCTTCCAACCCTGGCCATTCTGTGATGCTGTGATGCTTTTGTAGGTGCTGAGTGCACCAGTGTCCTAGAGAGAGCCCCAAGGCCCTTGGTTTATTAAGGGCCTTTTTCTCCTTCTCTCAGTTGTTTTTTCTTCTTTTCATTCTGTTGATATGACATCTGTGGCCCATCAGGTAATTCAGCAGGGAGTGGTGTGTTCTTGCGAAGCTGTGGCAGGTGGGTGCATGCACTTCACTGCTGGTATGACAGAGCTGAAGGTGCCTGAGGTGTGTGAGAGCTTTGGGAGTTGGATGGAGAGTTCTTGACCAAGGAAGAGCCCTTTGGTGCAACCCCTGGGGAGAGGCTGCGATTGCTGAAGGGAGAGAGGATTCTTTGAGTGATGTGAGGGGTGTAGGAAGGGAGCTGTCAGGTTTAGGGTTCCTTTGCCGTGCTCTGCCCAGGCTGTGACAGTGCTGGGGTTCGATTTTGAGTCACTCTGAAGAGCAAATGAGACAAAGGGTTTTTTGAGCAGCCTGAAACCCTGCAACTGTGCTGTAGGGGCTGCAGCCCAGGGTAGGTGCCCTGTCTCCACAATTGCTGCCCACGCTCTTCCCTTCTCCACAGTGACCACGGCCATCCCCTGAAGCTCCAGTCATGAAGACCCTGCACATCATGGCTGATGGCCGTCTGTCTGCGCTGCCCATGGCTGTGATGGGTGCAGCTACCTCATGTCCCCTCAACCTGCCAGGCATCCAAGCTTCTCCTCCTCCACCAGCTCTCCACTGACTCCCACACCTTTGCCACCTCCCGTGTCGTGTGGTGGCAATGCATGGTGCTGGGGCGGGCCCAAACTCCCACCCTGACAGCAGGCACGTTTCCAAAAACTCTGCTCACTTCCTCATCCTGCTGGCTCGTGAGCAGATCCTGTTGTCAGCTCTGCCGACCGGCACAGCAGAGGTGGGATTGTTACAGCAGCCTGGAAAACAGCAGGGGAAAAACCATTTCCCCCTTTGGCTGTTATTTGCTGAGAAATGCTGTCTGGTGAGTGTTGAGTCAGGGCCTGAACCACCAGCCCAGATGGAGCATCTGGGGAAAGGACCCAGTCGGCCCTGGGAGCGCAGGTGAGGGCAGTTCAGTTGTATGATGGAATGAGGGGAGCCTGGCTGCAGCTCTCTTAGACCTCACTGAAGGGCTGACCCTGCACTGGGCAAGGATCTCTGGCTGGAGATCCCTGCCCTGTGGAGTTTTCCCTGTGAGCCTGGATCTTCAGGGACAGGTGAGCACTTTCCCTTTTCTTTGTAACACCCTTCTGTTGTGCCAGTCCCTTTGTGGTTACACCTGCTCCCACTGCACTGATCATTCTGATTGTTACAGATGTCCTCTGCCCCTTCCCACCTGTAAAGCAAACAAGGCGATGACAGAGCCTTTATTTGAGATAGAGGAGCTATAGAACAGGATATCACAGAAAGAGGAATCGACTCATCCCTCCCAGGAACAGTTTGGCAGAAAGCGGTGAGCTGAGGAATGCAGCCTTCTGCGTTTGAACTGCGGTGTGCTGAAAGGTGAAAGGGGGCTGAGGGGTGTGGGGAGGAGAGCTGTGCAGGCTGACTGTGTGTGTGCTGCTGGGAGCACTGCTGAGATGGAGAGAGAGGAAGGCTCCCCGCTCGAGGTACTCGTGTGCTCACGCAGTGGTTCAGGCTGTGACCTGGCAGTTCCACTGCACCACCCGTCCTGCACTGTCCATGTGCCACCTGCAGGTGTTGCCCAGCTTTTGGGGGACTCGCTGTGACCTCCCTGTCTCCCCTCTGCCTTGTGCACTGGGCTTCACAGCATCCTGATGGTGAGCAGTGGTCCTGTGGAGATGCTGAGCAACGATTGTGAGCTGCGCCCTTTTCCTGGACCGGTACCCAAGCCCTTCTCAGCGCAGAGCCTGTCTCTCTTTCCCTGGGGTTCCGTGGATCAGTCAGCAAGATGGGACTTTGCCAGCCAGCTGGTTTCAGCTTCACCACCCCAATGACAGCAGGGCAGTCCTGCAGCTCATGGCAGCCCTACGGCTCTGCTCCTTTGCCAGGCTGGAGAGCTGAATCAGCTGCGATTCTGCAGATCCTTCCCTGAGTCCTGCTGCTGACCACTGATACTTGTGCATGCTCTGGGCCGCATCAGGACTGGAAAGAGGAGTAGCTATCAGGCGGAAGGATCTGGCCTTCTGCTGGGTGACAGCCACCTGCATGGCCTGTTCCTGCTTTCTGTTTTCCCCAGGTGGCATTGTGCTTCCCAAGCAGTGTGTGGACCTTTCTGATGGGAGTGAGCAGCAAGGAACTGACTGAATCAGGGAATCATGGAATCACAAGGTTGGAAACGACCTGTAAGATTCTCAGCTATGGAGGTCCTATAAGGGTCTCAGCTGCCTTCCTGCCCTGCGCTGGACTGAGGGACCCTGCAACCAGCTCAGGAGGTCAGAGGGGGCCATGGGCCCAGCTGTGCCAGCTTTCACTGCGGAAGGGAGCAGTTCAGGGAAAGACACAGCCTGGGTGAGCCTGAGCTTTACTCTAGCATCTGAGGGAGCTGTGGACATCAGCTGTGGACACGACTCATCGAGGTGTGGGGCAGCTGTGGATGCTCAGTGTTCTTAAGCAGCCCAGCTGTATCTCACAGCTGTAGTCACAATTTCTCTGTGAGGCTGAGATACCCTGAGGATCGTGGCATCTCTCACTTTGCTCTCACGCCCGTACTCACAGTCTCTGAGGAACGACTTGAGCCCTGTGACCACGTCCTCGCTCGTGTGCTGGAGTCACTTTTGTGCCTTTTGGTGTCAGGGCTCTTGGGGCAAAACGTGCCTGGACACTGCCACACATTTAATGCCTTTCTGCTGTGCACGCTGGAGGATGCAGAACTGGCTGGGTCTGTGATGCTTTATGAAGCTGGTCTGACCTCTTTCAGCAGCAGTGAGAGCTCTTCTCACCTAGTCTAACCCTTAGAGCAGCATAGAGTGACCAGTGCTATGGAAAGAGCAGAAGTGTTCCTTCAGAGCTGATTTACCCCTGCGCCTGCTGTGTTTCGTTTCACTTTTTGTGGATGAGCAAGTGGCCCTTTAGGGATGAGCATCTCCTTGCTCCTTCCATTCTACAGCTCGTAGCAAGGTGCTCAAGACACCCCACAGCTGTGGGGAGCAGCTGGCACAAGAGAACTCAGTCCTGAGGCTGCAGCAAAGGTTTTGGGTCATTTGCAGTGGCTCAGTGGGAGCTTGCAGAGGCAAAAAGCAGCTGCAGATGTGCTCTACAGCTCTGTGCTGGTTTGCAGATTCCTCAGGAGTTGTGCTGGGTCATCTGGCTTCCACCAAGAGCGCTCCTCTTCTCTCCACAGATCACATCCCAGGTGCTGTCTGTCTGTCTGTGGTAGATTCCAGAGCAAGGAGGCCTCTCCATGCCATCTCTGCACATTGATTTCAGCCTGTGGCACCCCCATTGGGACACACGGATGCTCCAGGAAACAGCTGTGAACCCTGGGGCTGGAATGAAGATGCCAAAAACAATGCAGAAAAAAACCCAGAGGTAAGTCTCAGTTTGTGCAGGAAACTCTCAGGCAACACACCTGCTAAGGTGAAGCTGTTTTTTGCCTGCAACCTAGCCCTAATTCCAGGAATCAAGCATACCCCACACACCACCAGCTGGGACCATGTGGTGAGGTTTGTTTTGGATGCTACTCTCCAGCACCCCTTTCGGTGCAGCCAGTGTGCTTCCCATGGATGCTTGCTGCTGTCCTGAGCCCTTTATAACCTCAGTAGCCCCTGCTATAGGGCAGCATACTTGAGAACTAAAATGGCATGGTTTTGTAGGAGGGAGCAGGGGCTTTGTACCAGGGAGCTGCAGAGCATCCTGGGCACAGCATGGCAAGATGGGAACATCCACTGCGTGTCTGTGTTGGCTCTACAGAACTGCACAGGGGCACAGCACCTCTAGCAAGAAAACCTCTGCAACTCATTCTGCTGCCTTATCTTTTTAAAACATGACACGGTCCAGCTCATTGTGGCCGTGGGACACAGCAGCTGTGACAGCATCCCAGTGCTGCGGCATCCCGCTGCCCGCCTCTCCGAGGGGCCAGGGCTGATGCAGAGCAAGGCAGCAGCTTGGCGCTGCAGTGGGAAGCGGAGGTGTGTGGAGTGCTGTAGGTGTGCTGGCTGTGCCCCGTCGCTGTGGGGTAGAGCTGGTGCTGCAGGGAGCCCTTGTGGGATGGTGGTGGTGCGTGGGGTTGGAGGGCTGTGCAAGCTGGTTATCGCAGGGCTGGGGAAAGCAGGAGTAATGGAGGTAATGGAGAGAGGTGGCTTTGGTGGGGCTGCGTGATTTTCAGGTGCTCCAGAGGGTTGCTGAAGTTGATCAGGAAATGCAGCATCTCTCCCTTGTAAATGTTTTGGGCTGAGGCACTGGGGTGAGTGGAACGGCACAGCTGGTCTGGGAGCGATGGCTTTGGGTTCAGCATCACTGCTGTGCTTTCGTCATAGGCAAAGGAGTGGTCACCTCCCAGATCCAAACTGTAGGAAACATGAGACTCACCCATGGGGTGAATGGGGTTGATTGAATGGGGGTTAACTGAAGTAAAGCAACAGAGAAGTGAAGATGACCTTTGTGCAGCCCAATAAAAATGCAGTATGGCCTCAGAGTGGTCAGCGGGGTCCCAGGGGAACAAGTAGGATCTGGGATCTACTTCACCCCAAAGTCCCTGTTTTTCCCCTTCAATGTGGGGTTTTCTGCACGAAATCCCTGTTTTTCCACTAAAATGTGGGGTTTTCTCCCCGAAATCCCTGTTTTTCCCCTTCAATCTGGGCTTTTCTCCCAGAAATCCCTGTTTTTCCCCTTTAGTCTGGCTTTTTTCCCATGACAGTGTCCCTGCTGCAGTGCCACCCTTACTGTGACAGACTTCTGCCATCCGTCCCATCTCAACTCTCTCTCTGCCCTTCTTTCTTGCCGCCCCCCTCCAGACACCGAAGGCCAGAAGCAGAACACGGCAGCACACACGTGTGCGTGTGCATGAACACGGCGTGTGCACCGAGGGCTCTGCACAAGGCTGTGTGGCTTTGCACACCTTTGCCCGTGCGTTCGGATGGTTGCGCACAGGTGTGCCAGGAGGTGCAGGCAGTGTGTGAGTGCACAGGGTTGTGTGAGTGCGCCAGGAAGTCGTTGGAGCAGCAGCTCCTGGCTGCCGCTGCACAAATCGGGCCGTGCGCTCTGTGTCCATCTCTACTGGTGATGTTTTTATTGAGCACAACCAAAGTTGAGTTGGAGTTGGGCGGCACTCGCAGCGCTGCCCTGTAACGCCGCGCGCCGCAGCGCTGCCGGCTGATGCTGCTCCTCTCAGTCCCTCAGCTGCAGCTGCTGCATCATCTCCACCAGGCTGTTCATTGTGGAGCACTGGAAAGAAACAGAGTGAGTGTAGAAACAATCTGGGGAGCTCTCCTTCAGAAAGGCTGATCAGGACACTTGCAGAACGGCCCCATGCAGCACAGCACGTTCCTGCCGTTCAGGTCGCTGGCGTTACTTCCCACAGCAGCTGCCTATGCTAACATTCATGCTCTGCTGGGGGAACGAGGTTTCCAAGGTCGCAGTGCCCGACACGGCAAGGCTCCTTATGGCAGCAAAACCCTCCGGCCGTTACCAACAGCGTCCTTCTGAAGGCAGAGGAAGGCACCCAAGCTCGCCTGGGCAGCTCTCGCTGACAGCGTGACTTCCTCAGACACACAGCTGGGTGTTTTTCTGTGACATCACTGCCCTCAGGACCTTGCAGCATCTTTCACGGCTGTCAGACAGAGGCACTGAAGGCAACAAGAGCCGTGTCTGTGCTCGCCAAGGACTCACCTCTGTATGTGCAGCTGCAGCTCTGAGGGAAGCCTTCTTCAATTCCCTTCTCCTCTCTTTCTGTCGTCGTCTTCTTGCTATAAAGCAAGAATAACAATGAATTCATTCCGTCAGCAGCAGAACTGTGTAAACATGGGTACCACAAAAGCTGAAGGCAGAAAAAAGACAGGGGAAATTTGAGCAGGAAGCCTCTCAGTGAAAGACATTTCCAGGGGGACAAACAGAAGACCACCATGCAGTTAAAGAGACGGGGTTACATACTGTGGCACCTCAGTGCCTTTGGACTTCTTAGAGGCTCCAACTCTTTTCCCCTCTGCAGAGAAGGAGAAAGCAAAGCAAACCCTCTGCAGCCTCGGTGTGCTTGATCAGGGCAGCAGCTGCCCTGCAGGGCGGTAGCACAGCACCTGCTTACCTCGCAGCTTGGAGCTCCGTGCTGCAGCAGGCCCAGGCTGTGCTGCTGGAGCCGGCACGCTGCCTCCGCTCTGACCTCTGGCTCTTTTGCAGGCAGGCAGCAGCGCTGATGTTTGCTGCTCTTCCTCCAGGCCCTTGCGTTTACCTGCAGCCAGGGACTTGGAGACAGAGCGGGGGCACACGGCAGGGGCAGGTCTTCCCCCTGAGCTGGGACCTGCTGATGTAGGAAGCCCCCCAGCCTGAAGACAAGCTCTCCCAGAAAGCCCTTCCTGCACCGCTTTCGGGTCGATCTTTCCGTTGGACTCAGCACCTCTGTCTGTTACAATCAAGAAAAGAGAAGCAAGGAGATACAACGAGAGTCCAGTGATACTTTCAGTCTGCACAATGGGCCTCGATACTAGGAAACCTGATCTCGAGGGTACACAGTAAGGAATCTTAGCATCTTGGCTGAACGTTGCGTTGAGACTACAAAACGGGACAGGAAGGTAATAGTAGATCCCAGGGATTAATACCTCAGGTAAAACACACAACAACGTCAGTCCCAGAAAGAATAGACAGAGAGCCTAGCTAGAAAGACAGTGCACCAAACCCAGGTGCCTGCTGTGTGTCCATACCTCTCTTGGGTGCTGTGCCACACTCGGTGCTTCTGCCTTGCCTTTCTGCAAGGCTGCGCTTTGCTGGAAGGCTGCTTGCATCAGCGTCTGACAGAAAGGAAACAGAGACATGAAGAGCATCTCTTTGCAGGAACGTTGTAGCACAGCCAACCAAACTTCTGGTCTTCCAGTGTAGTTTCTTCAATTTCCTTTCCGCTGCTCCAGCCTTGTGCCACTTCTGCAGTCAGCACAGAACTGCAGTGCCCTTTCCTCCCTCCTCCATCACACTCAGCCCTGCGTGCAGCCCTGCTTAGAGGCAGCACCCACAGCACAGCTCACAGGAGCTTCTTACCTGGGGAGGCTTTCCGTTTCCCCCCGTGCCCAGCACCATCCCACGGACGCGCAGGCTCCGTCCCTGCAACGACAGATCCAGTGTGATTGCACAGACCCCAGGAGCAGCGCTGTCCTGTCAGCCCACACCCACCCCAAAACCAGAAGACGCTGTTCTACAGCCAGAGCAGAAACTGGTGTTCAAACTGCAGCGTGCTGACACAAAGCATTATGCTCTCATTCCTGCCAGATGGCAGCAGAGGAACCCCGGACTGCCTGACAGCTCTGCATTCTGCAGAGCAGAGCTGCATCAGCAAACAAAACGCTACCGGGTGCAAACGTGGAGACACGGATCTCTTGTCCCTAGAGGGAATGCACTCAGCTCTGAGCAGCACCACTTGTACACAGACTGGTGTCTCGCTGCTGCCATCAGCTGCTGCTGTCGGCCTTTCTAATGCTTCCACCGTGGTTTCTGGACATCCCTACAGCACTGCAGCCGCTCAGAAGTGATACCTAGCAGGCATTCCTCCATCCTTCATGACAGAGGACTGCAGAAACTCACTTTTGCGTGGCAGTGAGGACGGCCCGTGCCCATCGCGTCCCTCTGTGCGCTGCCAGGCGCCGTGGGATCTCTGGCAGCCTGCTGGCTGCTGCTCCCAAAGGCGGGGAACCGCGCCGCGCTGCTTCTGAGGAGAGAAAGAAGAAACGTTGGAGGGAACGGGCAGCCGAGGTTTGCACAGAGCTTCCAGGTCGTGCCAGAGATGGGATAGCAGAGTGCTGAGATGTTCTTTACCACTGAGGGAAAACACAGCCTGAGCCATGCCCATGTTATTAGCCCAGGCTGTCAGCGAGCGCAGAACCCAACCAGTTCCTGAGGTCCCAAAGGACCAGCAGGGCTCCCCGCGCTCCACCCCTTCCCCTGGAAAACAAAAACAAAGGAAGAAACACCCAGCAAAAGACACCCAGCCCTACCTTTGCTCTCACAGAGCGGGAATTGGAGCCGCGCTCGTCTCCATGCTGAGACATGACGGCTGAAGTCTCAGAGGAAGCCAAGCTCAGATGGTTCTCTGCACAGGAACTTCTCCCGCTCCTGGAAAGAGCTGGCTTCACTCTTCCTCGATGCCCAAAGTCTCCTTTTGGACAGGAACCCTGCAGAAAGCATCCACCAGTGAAAAATCATGAGGAAGAAGCATCTTCCCAGCTTTCTTCTGCCGCGCCATGGAGTCTCTTGAGGAGGGCAACGTCTGGAAGGCAGCTGGCTGCGAGAGCTGCCTGCCACCAGGTCCAGTTTGGGTCTGACTGCCACGGCTTGTGTCAGCAAGTGCCCTTCTCCATCTCCTCCACAGCTCTGCACCCAGCCACCCGTGGGGCAGGGGGCACGAGCTGTGCTCTGAGAAGCTTGTGCTCTCCTTGCTTTTCAATGTCCGACATGAAGGTGGGGGCTCAGCAGTGAATTTCCAGGGTAGGAATGTCATCTCATCATCCTCACAGAAACGTGGGATGGAATCTCAACAAGAACCATTTCCCCTGGAAACGGCCGTGCTGAGGGGCACCGCTGGAGCTGGGAACTCCTCCCCAGCCCAGCTTTTCTGCTGAGACACCTCCCGGCCCCCAGCCAGCACCAAACCCAGCTCACCTGGTCACTGCCCAGCCGGATGACCTGGTCACTGTGCCCAGCTGACGCACGCGCCGCAGCGCTGCTCCCAGTGGGCTCTCACAGAAGATCTCTCCTGAAAAGCACAGAGCTCAGTCTTGGTTTGCAGCACGCTCACCAGACCACCAGCTCTGCTCCAGCTGGGGCACAAACGCTCCCAGCCAGGCAACCACTGTGAGCTCAGCAAGTGCCTGCATCACCGCTGTGCTTTCATCATAGGCAAAGGAGTGGTCACCTCCCAGATCCAAACTGTAGGAAACATGAGACTCACCCAATGTGCTGAATGGGGTTGATTGAATGGGGGTTAATTGAAGTAAAGCAACAGAGAAGTGAAGACGACCCTTGTGCAGCCCAATAAAAACCAGTATGGCCTCAGAGTGGTCAGCGGGGTCCCAGAGGAACAAGTGGGATCTGGGAGGAGCGCACAGCAGTCCGGTCCAGAAAGGTGCAGCGTGGCCAAGTGAAAACCAGTAAGGAGCAGCATGGCCTCAGAGCGGTCCGTGGAGCCCTATAGGAATCAGCAGAAAGCAACAGGAAGGCCCATCTGTGCCCAGGGCCGGTGCCGGCCTCTGCCTCCGGCTTTGGGCCCTCGGCCTGGTGCCGGCCTTTCAGGACTGGCTTTAGGCTCCACGGCCGCTGCCAGCCCGCCCGGCTGTAGGTGTGGCTGTCAGCCCCGGCTCTGGCGCTGCCCCTGTGGCTGTAACCGCGGCATTATGGCCCAGGGCTGGTGCTGGCTCTCTGGCTGGAGCTTCAGACTTCAGGGCCGGCTCTCAGGCTGTGCCTTCAGGTCCCTTGGCCGGTGCCAGTCTCTCTGGCTGTGTGTTTTGGCCCCAGGGCCACTCCCGGCTTCTCTGGCAGCATCTTTAGGCCCAGGCCGTGTGCCAGCCTCTCTGACTGGGGCTGTGGCTGTGAGCCCCTGGGCTGCATGCAGCCTTTTGGGCTCTGGCCCAAAGTCACCAGGCCTGGTACCAAATTGTAAGAAAACATGAGGGCCGCCCAATGGCATTATCTGAAGTATCAAAACAGAGAAATTAAGATGACTCCTGTGTAACCAGCCTGGGTCATGCTCTCGCTCAGGCACCGCATGATCAGACCCAGGAGATGTTGCCCCCAGGATCCCCCAGACTGGAGGCTGGGAGGATTTGGGCTCCCAAGCAATCAGCCAGCATTCGGATGAGTCAGCGCTCTGGTTTTTGTGGGGACAGACGAGCCCACCTTGGAAAGCCATCTGGGCAAAGGCAGAACAGCTTTGTGTTGGGCCGCAGCACTCCGTGGCCAGGCGCTGCTCAAACGCTGGGCCTGCATTTCCTCCTGGGCATCCACGCGTGCTCTGAGTCTGCTGCAGCTTCCTGCAGGGTTTGTGGCTTCCTGCTGAGGAGCTCCTCGTGTTCTTCTGCAGCTGCCCCCCAGCATCACCGCTGCCTCCTCTGGTGCCGTGCCGGGAGATGCGTCAGCGTCCATCAGCCTGCGCTTCCTTCCTCCCAGCAGCAGCTGCTCCTGCACTGCCCTTCATTCACACTGGATGCCGTCCGCTTCCAGCGCCAGCTGACCTGCGACACAGAGAAAGGAAATGTGGGATCAGCACAAATGCAGAAGCCCGAGGCTGTGCCACCACCACGTACTGCAGCCTTGGGAAGCCAGCTGCCACTGCAACCTTGGTCAGAATTAAAGCAGGCTCCGTAAATTAAGTGTGACTTCTGAACTGAAGGAATTGCCACAGTCAGAAATAAATACTGAAATCGCTTACTGAACTGTAGGTGGTTACTCTGAATTCTTTTGCTTTGGGGAAAATATGGACTGGGAATTGAAGGGTACGAGAAAAACGAGGAGCACTTGGCAACTCAGGCAAACTGAGCAGTGCAGGGAAGATTGCTGCATTTCTTCCTCTCCTGGCCCAGAAATGAATTTTCCTACCTTAAAGGAGGTACTTAAAAGAGGTACCTTAAAAGAGAAAAGAGAAGAAGAGCCTGACACAGTAGACACATTACAGTCCCACATCACGGGTAGAAGCTGGAGAGCTCTCGTGGCCCAAAGCTCAGGGCTGCAGAAATTGAGGGTGCTCTAAGCTTTAAAACCAGGTGAAAGACAAGGTGGAACGCGAAACGTCGGCACTTCCTGCAGAGCTCATCACACAGCTGCAGGCACCGCCTGAGGGGTAACAGATCAGAAAGGAAAACCTGACTATGGGAACGCAGGGACCAGCTGCTCTCTTCTTCTGGGCCTTTGTTCACAGTGAGGATTTCCCTCAAGAGCGCCGCTTTCCGCTCAGGCTGCTGCTGTCTCCAGCTGTTGGTCGCTTCCACTGCTGGACGCTGTGCCCACAGCTCATTCTGCTTTGGGCACAGCCTGCTGGGTGAGCTCCAAACCGAGGTCCCAGCCACGCTAATCCAGCTGGTTTCTCTGGAAGGGCTCAGAGGCCACGCATGGGATCCTTTCTGCTGCTGGTTCTCTCCGGGCAAGAACCTCCACTCTCAGAGCAGCAGCCAAGAGCCAGAAGGCAGACAAAGCTTCCAATCCCCATGGATGTGGCTGTCTGCAAAGACAACAGCTGCCTGCTCTTCAGCAGGGTGACGCTCACCCAGCAAAGCCCTCACCCAGCAGATGCCTTTCCTTACACTCAGAACTGCCTCACATTTGTGCAGCCCTTGGCACTGCATTTCCAATCCAAGCTCACATAGATCTCAACCATTCCTTCTGTGTCAGTCTACTTGGATCCCCAGTTAGGGCTGCAGCTCAAGAGGTCAACACAACAGGAGCAGCACAGCACGCAACTGGAAAACACATCTCAAGGCTGAGAAGAGCCAACGTCTGACCTTGGGCACAACTCACCAAGATCTGGGCCTTGCAAACTTGGCCGATCTGAGCATGCGGGAGGGGGCTGGCAGTCAGACCAGCAGTGTCCATTTCCATTGCAGCTCCGTGTGGAGAAGAACGCCAGAATGTAACAGGTGTGGATGAGTTCATTCACAAGCTCACAAGGAGTTTGTTCTTCATTCAAAAAAGCATGCATTCCAAGTCAAAAAGGGAACAGCAGGAGTTGCTCTCCATGGAAGACATTCCTATTCCCACACCTCATCCTCCTACCACAGCTTTCCTTGCCTCACCCCTCGCCCCAGCTCCTGGAAAATGCCCGCAGACTGAAAGTCAGCTCTCAAATCCATAGACTCCTTTCCCATTGCTCCATTAAAAGAAGACTTCAGACTTGTTTCATGCACTCCAACTGACCGAGCAGTGGTACCACAATCACTCATGACACACGGAGGCCACTCTCAAAAGCTTCTAACAACTCCTGCCCCGAGACCAACATCTCCACAGCCATCCTTCTCATGTGAGTCCAGGAAACAAATCCACAGCACAGCCTTTCTGAACTACTATCATATCAGGAGCATTTCTGGTGGTAGAAAGGCACAGCAAATAGTCCATCAGAGACA